GCCTGTTTGGGTTTAGACTCGAAACCGTCCATTAAGTATATACTAGAACACTAATAGCCTTATAGTTTTCAAAAGTAGTGCACTTTTGGTTCTAATGGATGACATATGAGTAAAAAAATTCATACGCATTCCCTCCATATATTATCAAGTTGAGATGGCATCAACAAAGATCGACACGAGGATTGATCGACAATTTATTACTATATTTTTCGTTTTATTTTATGTTATGATGTTGATTAGACCACGTTGGTAAAATTTTAAAATTTATAATTTTAAATATATTATGGTATTTTTGTGACTATAGCCGTATGCCATTAAGAGTAAAATGAGAAATTTTAAATTAATTATTTCCGAATAAAAAAATATTATTATTTTTAAATAGACTAGAAAAGTGTGCACATATAAAGTTATTTTTTTAAAACCTTAAAAAAGAGACAAATTGGCCTACTACATTACAAATATACAAAGACAACCCCATGGATATATAAAGTTCCTTATTTCCCTTGGAATATATTCAATAAATCTTGATTGGTGTACAAGAATTTGGTTTGATACAAGTTTAGAGCTAATCATTCCTGAGGAATTTGGTGGATGAGACCTCATCACAACATATGGGGCAAATCTACAAAGAGAAACAGATCATTATGTACATCAAGAACAACAAAAACATATATTCATCCGATGTTTACACCAAATCATATATATTGACTTAGCAAGTTACCTTCTTTATCTGAAGCCATTTATTTATACAATCTGAATGGAAGGAATGTCACATGGAAGTGCGACTAACTTCTCTCCTTCTTCATATTCCATTTGACACACCACACATCTATATTCATTTAAACTCGATGTCCAATTAAATTTAATCGCATAAAATCGAACAAAAGGAGCTTTTGGAAAGAAAATATATAAACACACTAATAAAGAAAAGAAAAAACTAAAAGATAAAAGAGGAATAAATAAAAAAAATGTGAAAAGTCATAACTTTTCTTTTTAACCAAGTAAAATCCTCAAATCAAAGTGAAAAAAGGAAAGGAAAAAAAAAGGGAAGTATTGACAAGTTTACTACTTTCTCTATTTTAATATATGTGATATTCTTTTGGCCTTTTAGTCCATTTCGAAAAAAATAATATATTTCTATATTTAAAACTAATTTAATTTTAAATTTCTAATTTTAATAATAATGATCGATGATAGATAACAACAGAAATTTCTATGACGTTATTTTATACGACAAGTTATAAAAATCTTTCTTCCATTCTTAAACATAACTCCGATCCATCCTAATCAAACAATCTCACATAAATTAATACGGAAAAAGTATTTTTTAAAATGTGAAAATGATTATGAGTGACCGATTACTTACCGATCAATAAGGGTCTTGGAATTATTAGATTGAAATGAAAATGAATGCAACTATTTTCTGATTTCTGCTTCAGATAATTCCTGTGAGACAAGTAGACAACTATGCTCTTTTTAGTAACTTTCATGTAATTTGTTGAATATACACATATATTAAATATTAAATTGCTCCATCTTTATACCTCGTAGAATAATTGATCATCTGGATCAACATCATCTCCCTCCATCTCCTACAAAAGGAGAAAATGCGCAGTGCCATATAGTACTCCTATATTTTATGAGTTTGATCTTGTTTCTCTTCTAATTAAACTATATATATATATATAT